AAAAAAAATAAAAAAAAAAATAGGTTTGTGTTTTGTCGGGTTTGTTGTCATGATTTGTTGGTGTTGGATTCTCACTTTTGTTTTACTAGTGGCCTTGATATTTTTGTTGAAACATATTACAAGTGATTGACACATTTATGATAAAATTGTTTCGTATAGAATATCCGCATGATTTGTATATGATAGTGTATGGAATATCACCCACCAAAACTTTCAGTCCGAACAACCAAATTGCTAATGAGTTTTTAAGGCTTGTGCGATTAACGTGTATATGACAGTATGAGCGCAGCAATATTTTGGATTCTTGCATAATTGGATTTTGCAGGAATAACTGAATCCATTGTTATGGCCCTTAGAATGCTTTTTTTATATTATTGCGCGCTTTTAAAGCATCGATCATGTCTAGGATTTTATGGGTTGGTGGTTGCTTGTAATAAATTTATTTGCACTGTAAGACACCGTATAGATATAATAGTTTCGTAGACGAGCATATACACTCAACCGTGGGTATAGGATCAAATTTGTTATTGTATTTATTTTTTCATCGTGTTGACTGCGGACGAACTCGGACGACCATGGGGACCGTAGACCTCGGCGACCCCACAAGCAGTAGCTCGACGTCGATCACCTCCAAACAGCCTCGAACAACCGCGTGCAGGCTGTCGACAACTGCCCAGGGGCGCAGGCAGTATGCTGGTTAGCGTGTTGAGCGGACAAAGATGCGGGAATGGAAAGCTGGTGAAAGGCCCTCGGAGACCGCGCTATTAGGTATATTGTAAAAGCTCGATTTTTCAATTTCTAACAATATCATTTTGAATGAAATTCATGTTTTTAGTCGTGTTTGTTTGCATTTTATTTATTTATGGGAACATATATAGTTCTTTTATTTTACAATGCATATAAATATGGTTCAATATGTCCAACAATATTATCGATTCCTTGTACAATATAAGTATATGTTCACTGCCCAGACAGAATTGAATTAACTGTCGTGAAAGACTGTAGTGTGATTTTCGAGTTTGTTGATCTTTGACTAACGAATTACACTAGTACATCTTGGATGTATTGAGCAAACCTACTAGAAAATAAGATTATCTTATACTGACCAAGTAAATAATGTAGAACTCAGTAATTGTAGCGTTCTCTTGATCAGTAAGACAATAAACGAGAATATGTATTCAGTTATTATTTATTTGATTTACCAGAGCAAGATTTATTCTGATGAGTCGATAGACTCGGTATTTGGTAAATAATTTCGATTACATGATGTGCTGATGAAATTGTTTACGGTCACTGTGTCACGTTCTGTCGGGTTGATGACTTCCCCTAAACAAGCTCAAGAAGGATTATTATGACAAGCCTTTCAGGTATATTAATATCCAACATAATAATACAGAATTCAGTGGTACTAGTTTCAGTTCAAAAAGTTGATTAATTATATTATCAACAATTTAATTAATCAACAGACATTAGATCCTAAACATTAGAAGATAAATAGACCAAATAGTCGGAAGACAAATTATTTGTTATTTCGGGGGAATTGAATTTAGTAATATTTCTTTAGTGAAATAAAATATCATTAACATATGAATAGAGTGGGCCACCACAGTTGGATTCATACGCCTTCTTTCTTAAAATCACTGTTGTAGCCTATAAATATTTTCGAAATGCTATTGGATTAGGATATTTAATTGTTAAAAATAATTCATAAAGTCCTTTATCATTATGATACTTGATTGAATTTACATTTTTGGCATTAAAAATGTATGAAGTATAAGGACATTTTAATCCATGCACAAGGACATTTTAGTCCGTGCACTATCGGATACAAATTTTAAATTATTAAAATTATTCTTAAAGTCTTTTATAAGGATACTTAATTGTATTTACATTTTTGTCGTTAAAAATATATATTTAATATAAGGTTATTTTAGTCCATGCAATTTCTTACAAAATTATTCATCTTTTTGTAATAGTATAATATAATATAATATAAATATAGATAGATAGATATACATATAATATAATTGAATTTATAAGAAATACAACTGGGGACCTTATATCAACTACCTTTCAGGATGCAAATAAACAGACATATAATCAAATTTATAAGACACATCTTTATTTGTTTCAGTAACGCCTGTAACTTTATCAAATCTACACGTAAATGTATGGGTTCACAGGCACAAATGACTAGATGCTAAGCTTATGAACTTGGTCTAATCAAAATCGGGCTATAACAAATAACGTAAGAGCGAACCAGTAATGAACTAAGAAGAATTAACAAGAAATGTTTAGCAGTCGAAACCGAAACACAATTTAATCAAACAGCCTTACAATCAAGTGATTTTATTGTCCTCCGTCGCCACATTGCAGCTTCCGGGTCAAACCTCAGCTCCCATGTGGGCCAGTAGTGCAAGTCCTGCTTCAGTGTAAGCACGCGAGGCTTCCCGTTCAAGTGAACTGTCCTAACGCGAACAAACTCCCCATGCTCTATTCCCTATTGGATTCGAATATTTTGAGAAATGATGATTACAACTGCCAAAATTTTTGCGATACAGATAACCGCAACAAAATATATACAAGTGCAATTATAAAGAAACTCCAGTTATCTTGAGGTTGATTGATATTCTTTTGCAAATGAACCCCTAAATTGGTAAAAATCAAACATTTCCCCAGAATTAATATTCCTGAAGTAAAATCAACTATTTTGCAACTGCATGCTTTTTCACGGTTCCTTCAGACATTATAAAGGAAGTAGCATACCTTTGTGACCGAGACAAAAGCATCCAAATCTGGGGTGGGCTTTCCATTTACTTCAACAATCCATTGTAGAGCATATAAACCGTATCTGTGTACTGGACTTCCGTGACACCACCTGTAACACATATTTGCACAACAAGTGAAAAATGCATGCTTCCAATTGTATTTTTTTTTTTTTTTCAATAAGACAGTCCTGTTTGTTCATTTACTTCTATCCAGAAGACTGTCACTCCCCTCTTCCTTTTTTAGCTTTACAATAATGAATCATATTTTCACCCTTATTTTGACACTAAACCTGATCTGAAATTTCATATTACACTAACACTCGGTTAGAGCGTAGAATATAAATCTGCAACTAGCAACTTAAATTTGGTTAAAGAAAGGGATTAACACAGAATATAGTTTTGGCTTAATGAGCTGCTGCCTTCTGGTCCTAATTTGACAAATCTGATACCTGTTTTATGCTAAATAGAATAATTAAGCACATCAAACAATTTCCAATTTGAAGTATATAACCTACTGACTCACTCTCAATTAATGTCCTTGTTAAATCAACTAGCTAACAAAAATGATTAGCTTATGCTAGAAAGCCTTACCTTGCCACGTATACGCCATGCCCTTCTTCAGGCAAGAACCCAAGAGCTCTGACGGCCGGATGAGGATCCTGGACTATACACCCACACCAATTTATGACTCGCGTGGTCCCGTTCCCATCCCTTACGTCTGTTCCTACCACTAGATCAGTTTCACGACCCTGAAATACATCATTATAATAAGATACTACACACATAATGAATTACAAATATACAAAACCATTATGCACATTTTTTTTTAATCTACAAGAGAACCTGTCGGAAAATTGTCACTGTGAGCTTCACATCGCAATCATTACATCTGTCTACCTCTTGGCAAGCATATTCAATGTCGCGAAAACATGTTACGGGTTCTTTGTTGATTGCTAACACCATGTCACCTTGTTCAACCAAATTTTCGGCTTTGGATCCTGCTAGACAGCCTTTAACTCTTAGAACTTGACGCCGAATAGGATCCTTTTTTACTAGTGCCTGCACATGGAGAAGCAAAAACTTGATTATGATTCCACTTTTAGTAAAGAGTCGATAAACCAAACTCTATCTGAAGGAGACAGAACCTCTCTGAACTTCTAGTACACTATGGTTCAGAAATACTTATATACTTATAGTAATAGGAAAATATCACCAGTAATAAAAATATGTGCAGTGCAAGTAATATAAGAAAACCACAGGAATCTTAAATACAAAGAAAAACATTTGCTTTTAAGTTGATCTCTGAAAATATTGCCCAACAGCCTTTCTCTTACAAAAGAAAAGATCCAGATATCTATTAAAATGACAAATATCCCCTCTCATTTGTTTCTACTTTCCTACTTGAAGCAATTGATATGATTTTTACATGTACGTAAAGCTCGAGAACTCAAAAGTAACTTTGTAATGATGATTGCATTGTTTATGTAACCAAACATAACTGAGCTAATAAACATAGATATACAACCCAAGGATGATCTATTTTGTTGATGTCGGATAAAGTGATTACATTATCACAGCGATCGCCACAATTTGAGCTATAACACAATAAGTCTAGCCCATATTAACAACCCCAACTTCCCTTGATTCTATAACTATGTTTATAATGCTACCGATGTTTGGTTCAGTTACAAATAATGCACTTACAATACATTTTGTACCCGCTGGAGGTTTGTGTCATCTCAAATTATTCCTCCAAATTAAAATTCTCTGATTTCACCCACTCAATCACTCCAAATGAAAATTAATGTTCGTGATATCTCAATGAAAGTTGTAGTGTAACATACAACTGTTAATGCAAATGGATTCTACCCAGACCAACGAGAAAGGAAAAAACGTAAAGAAAAAAAAAAGAAAAGAAGAAGAAAAAAAAAAGCATCACACAGCTTTTCCTCCTTTTTCTTTTTTTCTTTCCATTTCTCGTTTTCTTTCTATGGGACAGCAGTAAAGCAAAAACAGCATAAACATTAGATTACCTGGATCCATGAGTCGCTCAGGCCAAAACTACGTGCTTTTGAAAGTAAAGTGGGATACAGTTCGATCTCCAGTATTCTTACAAGTGGCATAGGTCTTTTTATTCCATTAATAAGAAGGGCGGGACCATCCACTCCAGATGTGATTTTTGCAAGGATCTGACTAATTGTGTAAATCGGAATACCCCGAACAAACTGATGGTCTTCAGACGAACTACAACTATATTTGAGCTGCAAGTTTACAAGAGTAGAAGTAATTAATACAAGTCTCTGAGGCAGCTCACATGAATTCAAGCAGGCAGAAAAGAAGTACAAACCTGCGTTGAGAAGCTTCCCCAAATAGCTTGAACCCTTCCAAAGTCATTCGTAAGAACACCAGAAAAAGTGCTGCCAAAATCTGAAAATCATGTAAGAAAGTTGAGAAGATTTATTTCATCAACGTGAAGGAGCAATGCGTAACAAGTTAAACTACCAAAAAAAAAAAAAATCTGATAAGATTAAAAAGTCAAGAAAATGAAATATGAAATTTTATTTAATACGAATGGTAACCAGAAGCTTGAAGCTTCTCAGTGGAACTTCTGCCCAACAAGAATTACTCTTGCACAATAGCTAAAGCTATTACAGTATAACAACAACAACAACAACAACAACAACAACAAAGCCTTTTAGTCCTAAACAAGTTGGGGTAGGCTAGAGATGAAACCCAATAGAAACAGTGTTTAAAGAAAAAAAAAAAAAAAATCAAAACAAAAACAAAACAAAAGGAAGAGATTGGAGCAAACGAGAAAGGAGCAAAAGTCACGGTTCCGGCACGTTGATCGCTAGCCTCCAAGCACTCCTATCCACCGCTAAATCCTTGGAGATATTCCAATTTTTAAGATCTCTCTGAACCGACTCTTCCCAAGTGAGTTTAGGCCGACCTCTACCTCTACCTAAAGCTATTACAGTATGATTTTTTATTGTCTACCCTTCTCTACTAGAGACCCTATAGTTATATTTAACTGACATAATACAAAAGGTAATATTAGTAGAAGCAAGATAACAATGATCTTCAAAAAACAATCAATCAGATCCCAAAATCACTCCACACACTGTAGATTTACTTCTTTCCTTGGATGCTTGTTATTATTTATTCTTGAATATACATCACATGATTTATGCCTTATTTCATGCAATCCCTATTCCCTTCACTTCAAAATAAATGATGTTCTAGGATTTCAAGATGTTCTAGAATTAACAATGATATTAAATGGACAAATTTTCCCTCAAGCAGTCTTTGTCTCACATTATTCTTCACTCATCACTTCCTTAAAATGATGTTCTCTGTCTTCTCATTTCTTGTTCTTTCCTTTTACATGCAATCTTGTTTGATTTTTTTGCCTTTCTTCTTTAAACTTAAAACTTAAGTTAAAATTGAAGAGATATCTTAGGGATCGATATAAGGACAAGGTTGAAGCATAATGGCTGTTAATGTAAAACATCGTTTGATTGGGGACAAACTAATAATCATAAAACACCCTATATTCTAGAATGGAGGAAATAACTAAAAGGAATGAGATCAGAAATTATTTGTATTACAAGTTACAACACACCAGTATCAAGCTCAATAACTTCCATATTTGTTGCTCTGTATCTTGGACAGTCAGCCGAGCCAATATTTAGGGCAGCAGAAGGATTGGTGACAAAGGATTTCCTAGAAGTCGCCTGTAGACTCCTACTCAATCCCACAAGGCACACAGGATCTCCACGACGTAGTGCAGGTTCTGAGGCACATTTTTCAATGGTAAACACATGGAAAGAGGGAAACACAAGCAGCAAAACAATAGAAACAAGCATCACATAAACAACTTGTACAGAGACCAATAGATGTTCAACTTAGGGCGTGCTTGAATACAAATATATCCGCTCAAAATGAGTTTTTTTGGTATCAGGGTCAAGTTCGAAAACTGTGGTATGGTTAATTAGTAGTGGGATTTTGAGTTTATATTAAAATAATATTTAAAATAAAATAAATAAAATTGATTTGATGTAAAAGTATGAGAGAGATGATGTGAATTGATGGTTAGTTAAAATTATGTGAGTGAATGAATAGTGAATTAAAGTTGATATGATGTGTAAGAATGATTGATTGATATTATTCAATTATATTGATAATGTTGAGGATAGTGGAGTTGGTTAAAGTTGAGTGAGATTTTGGGTATAGATTGAGTATGAATTAGAAAAAATTATAAACAAACACAATCTTATTAGTTACTTCTCCACCAGCATGAAAAAACTAAAAAGAACACATCCAAATATCATTACACGAAGGTACATTTAGATGAGTACAACACAGATTTTATAAAGATTGCATTGATAAATACCCAATGGCTCATATTGTTCGCCTAGCAGTCACATAAGATGCAGAATTCTATGCAGAAATATGGTATTGATTCAAATAAAACATGCCATTCAACAACGTACCTGGAAGAAGCTCTGCAGCTCTCACTACAGAGGCACCGGCACCAAGAGCAGAAGGATCATAAGCAACAAGTGCAAAATTGTGAACAGGATGGAGAAAAACAACCTGCAAAAGATGTAATTAAAACTCTTGCTTTGGTAACAGCCTTTACAGCTCAAAGAGATATTATGATTACCTCGCCGGGAATTTCAATTGGATAAGCAGCGAAAGACAGCATCACATCAGAGACGGACACTGCTACAGTATTCTTATCAACAGCAACAAGTCCCATGGTTTTAGAGTGATATATAATGACACCAGTGCCAAAGAAATGCTGAGAGTGCACACCATCAAGCATACAAGAGGACGGCACATGAACCTGCAAATTGGTAAACCAAAAAGAGCTCACTCAGGCAACTCAAATGGACACGAACCTAGATTTACTAACAAAGGGATATGTATGCTAATGGAAACATTATAAACATACACTTGGTTCAGAACAAAATTTTCTGTTCTGATTATTCATTCACCTGACCCAAATTTATACTAATGCATCACCAGACATGCAACTCAATACAACCCGCCCTTCAAATGCCTAAAACAGAAAAAGAAGAATACATATGAAGAAAAAGGAGATCTAACAAGGATTGGTCAACAGCAAACACCCAGCTTCAACCCTTTCCCCCAAGACAAAGCAAACTACCCTTAGACCCCAGTTCATCTTTTAATTCCTCTTAGTCATGCATTTATGCTCCCTCTCTCCATCAAGCAACCCAATTATCTCATAACAAATAACTTACTCAACAGAAAGCAGAGTAAAAGACACAGAGACTGTCGGCGATTGGATATTGATTTTTTTCCTTTTTGTCCAATCAGACATGATTTATCTCACAGAAGTTGAAAATTAAAACGTTTCACAAAAAATACTATTCATAACATCTCACTTGTTTCTCTACAATCCCACAAACACAATTAAAGGATAAAAATTAATCACTATTATACACTTACCGACAAAAAACACTATTCTCTCACTCACATATGTCGAACAAACAATGCTTAATTACTTTTATCACATCAACTATAGTCATTATATTCTTTATCTTATATCCATTCCATTCACAATCCCAATCTATCTCACTTTTTCCAAAAACAAATTTTCTACCGTCATCTCTATTTCTGAACGAGGAAAAAATTTCAACAATTTTTTATATCCAATCGCACCCTTTTTCAAGGACACGAATGTGATGTATCATACCTCTAACATCACGAGTGTAGGCTCAATCACTCGCTCGGCCACTGAAGCATTAGATGCTGCGGCTGAGCCTTGATTTTCCCTCAACGCAGTCTCAGGTTCTGTCCCATTACTATCCTCTAGTCTTTCCTCCCTGGGTTCATGTAAGGAACAGTCGGGTGATAAATTACCATCAGCAGACAAATTTCCTGCCACCCGCCTCTTTTTGGTTCCAGCATCAGATTCATCTAGAGAAAGCGAGTCATCTTCAATTTGTCCACAGCTAGTTTCCATGCTTGTCACACCATCAACAGGCTCTTGCTCAGCACAACTATGTGCTTGTTCCATAGGGGTGACCTCGGCAGCACAGGATAAAACACCATTGCTCGCCAGGTCTTCTTTGATGTTATCAAGCAATGGGTATAAGAGTGGAGAGTCCAGTGGCAGAACTGGCTTAACTGTCCATAGTCCAGAGCTGTCATCACGAGTGTAAATCTGAGGAGGGGCATACCATTCATGGCGATCGACAGTGACCAGGACAGACTGCATTCAAAAAGGGTTAACAGAACTTCTTAATCTTTCAATTGCTAAGCACTCAGCCATATATTTTAGACAAATAATCGTAATTTGCTTAATTGCTTCAGGAAAATGGTGACGATCAGCATATGCAACAGGAAAATTCATGGACCAGTCAATAACCCCAACATAAGCACGTTCAGGAAAACTATAAGCCCTATATTACGAAGTAAGAACAGCATTTCATAAATGTTCTTAAGTGGTTGGATTAGGATCTGCGCCTTCTGCAGGAACTAGTGACTGATTATTTTTAAGGATAAAATGTTTTCCCATTTCCCATGATTAAAGAACAGGCATATTCAGTATTTTACCCTCACTGCAATAGCACTTGGACAAGCAAAAGTTTACCAATTTCATTCTGACCTCAAAAAGTTCGTGGGACAATTTACTTGAGAAGCACCAAATCCAACACACATCTACAAAGGCACCACAATTACCTTTCTGCGATGACGATCAGTGTGACTTATATACTCTAAGGGCACTCTTGCACCCCTGGATAACTTAGATAGCTCAGAAATGAAGTCTTCAATTCTAGATATGTCTTCACCAGAAAACTTCTTAATGATTGCATGGCGCGGAACCCCAGCTCTAAATAGCATGTAGCTGCAAGCATAAATTAGAACACCGATATTCAAAAAAAACTAAAAAATTATTTTACACAATGATCAATGATGTGGCAGATCATCTTCAGCTTCAATATTTACTAAGCCACCCAAGATAAAGAACCACAGTATCCATTCAAACATGGACTCGATAAAATGACAAGCCGTGGATCTTAAAGTACGTGAAATGTAAAGAATTTGCATACCCTGGTTCCGCAACATACACAAGACCGCATTGGAAACGAAAGTTCCTAGCCTGCAAATAAAACAGTTCATGGATAGAGAGAAAAAACTGGGCCCTTTTGACAATCAACTACAAACACCGAACACAATGTAGTAAGACACACTGGAAAGTAACATTAATGAAAAGTTACTAAACCATGAATCATACATGACTTCATAACAACTGCATCAAAAAACAAAACTACAGCACTTAACAATAGATGCACATGGTTCACGCCCAATAATCCTTTATTTTTAGTGTTGTCATTTTTCATTATTCCTCACTGTCTCACCATATGGTCGTGCTTGCTCAGTTTTCTACTTACTCGTTGAAAGTAAGAGATGGCAATATTTCTTATCATGACTGCAAACATCCTAATTTTGTCCTATAATATCAGTTCATTTGATGAGGCTTTTCCACTTTTCCCATCAGTTACCTAGCTCTCCAGAAATTTATTGTTTGTCCTCCGCTCAGCAGGAAATATAAGGGCTTGATTGTTTATGAAATAATTTGTTCAAAATGAGTTATTTTGGTTAACCATAGTTAATTGTGAAAAGGTAGTATGGTTAGTTGTTAGTGGAATTTTAAAAATGTATTAAAATAATATTTAAAATAAAATGATTAAAATTGATTTGATATAAAGTAAGAGATAAATGATTGGAAATGATAGGTGGTTAAGAATATGTGAGTGGATGAATAGTGAATTAAAGTTGATGTGATATGTAAGAATGATTGGTTTATATTATTTAATTATATTAATAATATTAAAGATAGTGGGGTTGAGTTAAAGTTGAGTTAAATTTTGAGTTGAAATAAAAGTGAGTAAATTAATCCATAAACAAACAAGCCCTAAATGATTTTATTCACACAGTAACTAAATGTCCGCGGAAGATCATTCACATGACTAATGCCGGGAATAGCAGTGATTGTAAAGGCTACTATTCCTCCCTATATAAATGCAGAGTTTCCCAAGCTTATGTGTCATGGTGTTCTGTAATCCAACGTGTCGAATTTTGGTGCATCATAATCCTATGTGTCAATTCTTGTGCTTTGGAGTAGTCCATGTAAATTTGGACTTCTATCATACCTATTAGGACTTTTAAAATTATAAAACACACGACTAATTTAAATTACAAATATATTTGAAAAGTTAATAAGTAATAACTTTTGTAGTTCTTGTAAGTTTTTCATATATAATAATATCAAATTAATCATCTCTTAATGAGCTTCGATTTGATATCTGTAATACAAATCGGAAACTAATAAAAATATATATCAATTAAAAAATACAAAGTAATTTACATATGAATTAGAAAAATTATTATAATATAAGACCGGTAAATTGTACAAGTGAAGAGTCTCATTTAAAATATAATAATAATACAATATTAGCAAAAAATATTTGAAATCTAAATAAGAAAACTTATCTCTTTCATTTTTTTAGAATTAAGTATAAATTTTCTAACTAGCACCCGCGTAATCCACGGGTGTTGTATGTGTTACACTTTAATGTGGATAACTGAAGTTAATGCTATTTTGTAAAAGCATTGTACTGGTTCCTAATTGCTATGACTAGTGATACATGGCTTATATAGGATTTGCACACCAGCAGAACCATGAAAAAGCCAACTTATCTCTGACAAACTGAAAAGGTACAGTGGCAAAATCCAACCTGTTGATAAGAAAGAGGGTGTATCACAGCACCACTCACTTCAAGGAAGTAATCAGGAGTGATAGAATGCAAATCCTGAACCTGAAAGAATATAAGGAAGAAAGGTAGAAATGAGTCCTCCGTACCACTATTGTCCACACAAAGCTGTAGCACGAGATGTGTAAGTTCACGAGTCAATAGAGTAACAGAAAACATAAATAATTGCAGACTCATGAGAAGCCATAAAAGAAGCCAGATAGTGTCACCTAAGACACTTTGGATGGCCCAGTTTCTGTGGAGCATAGTTTCAACATGTGAATATATAATTGAACAAAGTAACTATATGGACCTTTTTTCCAGAGATAAAGCAGTAAAAGAGAAACTCGCAAATATTACGTGCATATCTCACCGTTAAATCAACAGTCAAAGGTTTCCCGCCCCTTTCAATCTGAAGTTCAACATTATGGCTGACACTGTCATCAAGCAAACTCTCCATCTGCAGAAACTGGGTAGTGACCTGTACCAAGGTAACAAAATCAAATTAACTCATAATAAAAACATTACAATAACCTTAATCTTGAATATTTAAATTAGTTATCAGCTGTGTCATTAAAACTTTCACTCTGGTACGTGTGTTACACACCAATCTAAATCTATCGATGGTTCTTTATTTCATCATTACATACAACTATCTAAAAATACACTAATCGGCCTTAGGCCCGTAGGGTCAAGATAGCAGTTATGGCTATGTTCTAGGGTTTCAGTATTCAATTTAAGTGAATCTTAATCTTTAAAGAGAGTGGAGTGTTATTTCCCTAGGAAAACTTCATGTTCTTGAAGAACCTCAAATTCTTTTTTTTTTCTTTTTTCTTTTTACTTTCTACACAGACAATACTTATTTCTTTACGTAAGCCCTCGACTCATCACATTAACCTTCTACTGTATTACATCTGAGCATAAAACACATGAACACTAACAAGTTGAATTTGAGTCGGTTTTAACAAATGAGGTTCTACTCCTCTCACAAGCACTAAGCCTCCATCTGCATCCAGGAAACACTTAGGACAATAAAGAAGAAAAAGCGAGTCTGGAGAAAAAAAAAAAAAAAA